TAGCTAGTTAGTATTTTGGGGTGCTGGGGATTGAACCCAGGGCCTTGCACATGCTAGGCAAGTGATCTACCACTGAGCTACCACCTCAGTCCCAGTTGCCAGTTCAGTTTTATAAAAAACTGCTAAACCGTTTTCCAAGTTGCAACCTTGGATTTTAAAAAGCAGACCTCAGGGTTAGCCCAGTAGTACAGCACTTGCTTATTAGCAAACTTGATGCTCTGGATTCTGTTACCAGCACTGCAAAAAAGATAAATAATTTGGGGGCAGGGTTGTGGCTCAGTGGTAGAGCGCTTGCATACCACATGCAACGCCCTGGGTTCAATCCTCAGCACCACATAAAAATAAAGCTATTGTGTCCAACTAAAAAACAAATATTAAAAAATAAATAAATAAATAACTTGGGGGGGATTAAAGAGACTCATATGGTGTGCAGAGGAAGAAGCTGTAATCCCAGCAACTCAGCAAGACCCTAAACAAGTTGGTGAGACCCTGTCTCAAAACACAAAAAGGGCTGGGGGAGATGGGGTTGAGAGCTCGCCTTGCACATGCACGACCCTGGGTTCGATCCTCAGCACCACCTAAGAATAAATAAGTGATATAAAGGTACCATTTCCAATTACAACTAAAAAATAAATTAAAGGGGCTGGGGATGTGGCTCAAGCGGTAGCGCGTTCGCCTGGCATGCGTGCGGCCCAGGTTCGATCCTCAGCACCACATACAAAGATGTTGTGTCCGCCGAAAACTAATAAATAAATAAATATTTAAATTTAAAAAAAAAAAAGGTACGGGGATGTGACTCAGTGGTATAGCACTTCTGGGTTCAACCCCCAAAATTAAAAGAAAAATACTTAAGTAATTTCACCAAAATTCATTTAATTCCTGCTCTCTCCTAGTTTATACAATTTGCTTTGCGAAACTGTAGTTATCATCACTAGGCAGTCCACAGAACCTCCACATTTATAACTGGTCAACAATTATTCCCTCCTATGAAGATACTGCACTGTACCTATGGATCAAATGATTATTAAATTCTCCTATGAACCTGAGCTGTTTGTTTCCATGTTTTTGACATTTTCTTCCCTTAATATTGAGTCTATGGCTGGCCATGAGCTCCTCGGTTCCTGATGCACCTGCCTTAGTTTCCAGAGTAGCTGAGATTACAGATGTTCGTGGGTTAGTTTTTTTTTTAATGTTTTTTATTAGTTATTGATTAATCTTTGTTTGTTTATATGTGGTGCTGAGAATCAAATCCAGTGCCTCATACATGCTAGGCAAGTTCTCTATCACTGAGCCACAACCCCAGCCCTGGGTTAGATTTTTTAAAATAAATTATAAATTACTGGAGACAGAAGCAGGGGGATCACTTGAGCCCAATAGTTGAAGGCCACCCTGAGCAATCAGTAAGACCCTGTATCAAAATAGAATAACAAGAGCTGGGGATGTAGCTTAGAGATTGCTGCAAAAGAGAAAAAAAAAAAAAGAAAGACAGCTGTTTGGCAAGTTCAAGACAAATTATGTGTTTCAAATTGCCAGCAGGGTCATTCTTATTATTACTAAAATTGTAAAAATAATCTGAAGCTAGTTTCCTTACTTTAATAAGAAAGATACATTCAACTTCATAACTAAATGATCCCTGGTGATCATAAATGATCTAAAGAACATGGCCCTTAGGTAGTATACACATTTTGGTTTTAAAACTAGTTACATCTTTGGGCAGAGCACTTGCCTCAGATTCAATGGGCCCCTGGGTTCCATCCTCATCAACATACACAGTTACATTTTCAGTCTTTGTTACATAGACATTGTTTTTCAGATGTTGATGGATCTTTTATTCATTTATTTACATGCAGGACTGAGAATCAAACCCAGTGCCTTGCACATGCTAGGCAAGTGTTCTACTACAGAGCCACAACCCCAGCCCTGTTAGACATTTTATGAGCAACAGGAAAAAAAATTTTTTCAACTGGATATTTCTCAAGACATCTGAAAAACAGCACCTACTTAAAATGTTTAAATTTCCAATTGTTATTTATAAAGGGATCACCTGTGTTGTCTCAGGAAAAAAGGTAACTACCAAAGACAATTTTTTTTTAAATATTTATTTTTTGGTGTAGATGGACACACCACAATGCATTTTATTTTTATGTGGTGCTGAGGATTGAACCCGGGTCCCGCCCGTGCTAGGCGAGCGCTCTAGTGCTGAGCCACAATCCCAGCCCCTACCATAGACAATTTTTAAAAATACAAGGTTCCCTTACACACATCTGCCTTCACTATGATTTCAGCACTTATTCTAAATGTTAAAGCAGAGAGATAACCTACTTGTTTTGGATAAAACCGCCAAATGCTACAGCAGAAAACTGAAGTCCACATCATCATTATAGAGCCCAAAGCCCACTTCACTCACTGTGTTGCCTGTAACTCCAACTCACTGTTAACAGTAACCAAATCTCTCTCTCTTGGGACTTTGCTAAAAATACAAGGCGCCCAATATACAAAACCTAGAAAAAAAACAAATTGCTGAGAAGTTTCAATCAAAGCAAGATCAAAATAAAGGGATCCCGTAAGTTCCTGGGCCATTCATACTAACACTAGAAGGTGACATTACCCATCTTTCACAACTGCAAAAGGTGGACTTAACTTGCTGACAATATGTAGCAGGACACCAAGGCAAAGAGGCTTATAAAAATTCAAGTTTCTTGGGGAAAGAAATCACTCCCATGAGGCCATGAGGGGTGACTGGAAGGCACTTGAAAGAAGGGTGAAAGAGGTAAGAGAGAGCTGCCTCACCCCAAAGAAAAATCTAATGCCTTTTTCAGGAAAAAAAAAAATTCTAAATTCTACATCTTTCTAGAGCCTAAAGATGCTGCCTATGGTTTACCCAAAGGAAAGAGATCAACTTACAGAAGGCCCATTCCCAGCACTGGCTCCACCTGGTCCTACCTGAAGGCCTTATCCAGAGATCCTGAAAAAAGCACATCTGTGAGATCAAAGTTTTAGTAGCTGCTCTTGTCAATGTGTTATTGGACAGGAAGAATTAAAGAAAAATCAGGACCTAAGTGATAGAATATTTGCCTATCATAAGACCTAGGTTCAAACCCCAATACAGGATTAAAAACAAAAAGGAAGAAAAATAAGAAACAACAAATTTAGATTCTTCACAATCAGGAATACAATAAGCCTGTGAAACTCTTAAGAATACTAGAACAAGCTAAACGAATTCTTGCTTATAGGTTCTAACGTTATGTACATAAACAAGTGATGTCAGGAGAAGCAAAAACTGTAAATCAGGCACCTTTCAGCTACAAAAAGAATATGATGTCCAAGCTCCTAGAAGACAGAGGTTCTGATATGTCAGTATCCAGTGTTTGCAAGGGCAAGCCTCGGAAGTAAGTAATCACTAGCCTCCAATCGGAGCAATAAAATACTGCAGACAACACTAGGGCTTGTTCCATTCCATTCACAAATCTCAGGGTGCTGGGGCTCTCCAAACAGCCAAGAGACAGCTTAAATGCAAAGACCCCAGCACTACTGGGCAGGTTCAATAACACCTGTCAGCTTCCTAGGCCTTTTCCCTTCCTCTTTCCAGCTGTACATGAGGCTCAGGTCTACACACTTTCTTCACAGTCTGATATGGTGGCCATATCCCAGGAGGACACACAAAGCATAGTGGCAGCAGTGTGAGCAATCCATGGAGGGTCCCAATCACAAATACCTGAGGAAAAGACAGTGTAAAATCCTAAATTTAAGTCCTACATTCAGATAGCAAGTCTCATTTTCCTAGACCCTAAACATGCTATCATACCACTCTCTGTAGACACCACAAAATCTTGAACAACCAGAAAGATTCAGAATCACTGAAGTACCTGTATCCAGAAAAGGGAGGTTTATCACCGAAAAATGATACTTTTTTGTTGATCCATCATGTCCCTAAATAGCAACTTGCAAGCAATTTTGGAAATAGTGAGAAAAGTAAGCTTACTCTTCCCAAATTTGGTCAATGAACAGCGGAAGTACTTGCAGGTCATCATATAGCACAAATAATTCATCCAGGTTGCAGATTAACTGGATTAGAACCTCATGGTTAACCTCAAGAATCTAAACTGCTCAGCTACTTGAGAAAATAAAGGTAGAAAAGGATTTAAGAACGCACGTTTGGGTTCCAGTTTTGCAGATAACAGTCCCCAAGAATCACATCACATCTCCGTTTGGGGGTAGGATGCTAATCCTAAACAATCTGAAAAACATTCAACATCAATGAAAACCACCTGATCCAAAGAACGAGCCATCTTAAATCCTAAGTTTGGCCACTACCTCGTGGAGGCCTCTGGACCAGAGATTTGGGGACAGAACGAACCCACAAAGGCTTGCTCCGTAATAGGTCTAGAGAAAAGATTTACATTAAGGGGGAATCCGTCTATCCTCACCCTGTGAGGACAATGGAGGCGACGTTTCCCGCCTTAGAAACCTGTGATCCTCCAGGAACCCAGAAAGAGCCTGGGACAAAGAGGAGGAGAGGGTGAAAAAGCAGGGGGGGGGGGGGKCCGTCCCTGCCAGGATGCTCAGAACCGGAGGGGGTGTGTGCTCTAGGCACGTGCGCGCGTGCGCCCGGCGCAGCGACAGACAAAGCCCGGCCCGGGAGAGGCGGCATCCGAGGGTCCAGTGCGCGCGCACCCCCCCGCGAGAGGCGCCGAAGCGGGCCGAGGGGCCACGAAGTGGGGGGGAGGATGCGCGCGCACTGGGTCCTCGCCGCCACCGCCGCCGCCATTTTGTTTCTTCGGCACAATGGGGGAGAGTAACGGCCGAGCGCGGGAGCGAGGCCGGCAAAGGAGAAAGGCATTGGATGTCTGGACCCGGGAGCCAAAAGCAAGCAAGAGGCACCAGAAGTCACCAGCCTTGTCACCGCAACCGTTCAACTGGGACTGTGCTAAGAGGGAGAACGGGCGGGGGGGAGGGGCAGAGGCGGGAGTGGGCCTGGCCGCGGCCACACTGACGCTTACCTTGTCGGCGTCCCCTTCCCCGTTCGCAGCCGCCGCCGCCTCCCTCCTGCCACGGCCCACCGGGGTCTCCCCCCTAAAGCCACGCGGTGCGCGCCGGGCGGCTGAGTCCAACTGCAATGGCGAGAAGAGGAGGGAGGAGGAGCCGGGGCCGGGGGCGAGCGGGCGGGCGGGCGCGCGCCGGGGAGGTGCGGGAGCACGTGACCGGCCGAAGCCCCGCCCTTTCGTCGCTTTTCTCTCGACGTAAGCCCAGCCGGAATAAGAGGGAGGGGCGGAAAGAGAAGGAGGTGTGTTTGGGTCACGTGATGCGAATATAGTCTCTGGGTGGTCACGTGTCTCTGGTGCTGGTCCCACCCCTTTGACTTATTTGCTTTGTCACGTGACACTGCGAATGCAAAAGCCGCCTTTTCCATTTGACAAGTTCTTCGGCGTTTTCTTTTTTTCTGTATTGGTAGGCCTGCGTCACGTGACAAGATCGACCTTATTTTTCAATGGCGGTTTTGGAGCAATTGTTGCCACGTGATACACGGAGGGACCGGACCTTCCCGCGGCTGCGCGGCTCGGGTCTTAGTCGGTCTCTAGGAGTTCGTAGACGGAAATGCCTCCGAATGTCTGGCACATGTGTGTCTTCTGTGCTAGAAACGCTGTCCCGTGGGGATTCGGCCTCCAGGGAGGGAGGCTGCGCTCTTCCCATCTTCTGCTGCAGACGAAGACGAAAAGATGTGTATGAGGAAAATCCGGACCGAGTCCCTCGATCTTGTAAATCAAGCCCAAGCCGGCGCTGCAGGGCGCCCCACTTCTTTGGTACCAAAACTTTCCTCCTTGTAGAGCCCGCTGGTCTTTCCCGCCCCGAGCCGCCAAAGACGGGAGATGAGTTGGACGAGATCCTGCAGCCCTCCCACCCCTTTGGCAGTTTGGACAGACAGGGCCACACAGGTGAAGACCGCACTGCGGGGCTCGGCGCCCTTCTTTGAAGAGGCAGGCTGAGACTCAGGACGTTTAGCCCGGGTGCGCTTGGGCCCAAAAGTAAAGGCACTGGTGACCCGGTACCTTCCTAGCGTTGTGTGGCCAAGTCTTCACAACCGAATGTACTTAAACACCCTGGCTCAGGTCCAGGGTCCTTTGGGAGCTCAACAGGAATAGTGGCTATAGCTAGAAAGGTGACAGATGCAATAGAATAGACATTATAATTGATGTATGTACATTCCTTGTATGTATTATATGTCAAAATACATTCTGCTGTCATGTATGATTAAAAAAAATAAATCGTATGGCCAAAAAAAAAAAATGACAAATGCCATGCTTATTTGGGTCAGGATTCGAAGTAAAGAGTTGGCTAAGGGATCTGGGGTTTTAGCTCAGTAGCAGAGCGGTTCCCTCGCATGTGTGAGGCACTGGGTTTGATCCTCAACACCGCATAAAAATAAAAGTATTGTATCCAACTACAACTAAAAATACTTTTTTTAAGTTGCTTAAGAAGGTGAGAAAAGAAGGTGAGAAGATTTGGGGACGTAGGGAAACGAGCAAAAACGTTTTAATAATGGATCTTAAGGTGTGGTGGCACATGCCTGTAATCCCAGTGGCTTGGGAGGCTAAGGCAGGAGGGTCATGAGTTCAAATCCAGCCTTAGCAACTTAGCAGGACCCAAAGCAATACAGCGAGATCTTGTTTCTAAATTCTTTTTTTTTTTTTTTTTAAGTAGAATCAAGTCCTTGTCCTGGGTTTGAGTTCCCGGTGTGACCAAGGCACTGAACCTTCCTATCTTGTTAAAGTAAAATAAAGCATGTGCAGAATGAATCTCCCAAAATGATATTTAAGAACATGTTCTTTTATTAAGAACATAATGTGTAAAAATATGATTACCCAAATGGATGCCTGCTGTGCCTACTGCTTTTGTATTATTTACACTTTAAGATTTTGTGTGTTTTATTTTTTGAGATAGGATCTTGCCTTGACTCTGTATGGCTGAGATTAAAGAATTTTTAGTAGATCATATATTCACATAATATGAAGTGTCAAATGGGCGAAAAGATGAAAGAGTAAAGTCAATCTCCCTCAGGCACCCAGGACTCCTTTCTCTTGGCAGCCATTGTAAAAATTTTTCTCTACAGGAATTATTGATGTTTTCCACACAAATAATGGACGATGAGTACCTCTGACAGTGTTGGTTCATTTGATGTGTTTCAGAGATCATCTCATTCAAATAAACTTCTAGAGGGCTGGGGATGTGGCTCAAGCGGTAGCGCGCTCGCCTAAAACTTCTAGATTAAAAGAAGATGTGGAGGCTGAGAATGTAGCTCAGTTGGTAGAGTGCTTGCTTCATATACACAAGGCTCTGGGTTCAATCCCCAGTACCACAAAAAAAGAAAAAGAAAAATGTGGTAACCTGAATGGGTCTTGTATTCAGATAAAATTCACTACCTTACAGATGTTTCAAGGACACTGATGATAATGAATGGTAATAACAGAACCTAAGTTGTTTTTAACATACATGATCTTATTTGAAGAAAGACCAACAATACCTCTTTTTTATACTGGAAGGAACTTACCCAAACTAACAGCGCTACCAAGTGGCAGAACAAGAATAGTTTTAGTTTTTTTTTTTTTTTTTTTTTTTGTAAAGAGAGAGTGAGAGAGGAGAGAGAGAGAGAGAGAGAGAGAGAGAATTTTTAACATTTATTTTTTAGTTCTCGGCGGACACAACATCTTTGTTGGTATGTGGTGCTGAGGATCGAACCCGGGTCGCACGCATGCCAGGCGAGCGCTCTACCGCTGAGCCACATCTCCAGCCCCTAGTTTTAGTTTTTTTGACTCCCAAGCCTTTAGGCCTTTTTCAGAGAACCTCCTGTCAACATTTCTGAAGAAAATATTTTTGTTCTCATTGTTTTCTTTTCCTAACTTTTATGTTTCTTTTTTCCTTCTGAAGAAAATGCTGTTGAATGTCTTATTACTATAAAGCAGCTCCCATCAAAGGGGCCTGCAAACCCAGTTAAGAGAAGGTAGATCACAGTCTTAAGCACAGACCTTGGATCAAACTAGAATCTCCTCCATGAAGAGCCCAGGACTAATCTGTAGTTATTCAAACCTTAAGGAATTGCTTGAGTACCTGGCAAGGAGCAGGTTCTTGAAAAAGCAGTCATGCTTATCATTGATACCTATTGACTGGCACCCCATCCTTTCTAGTCTTTTCTTTGATACTGGAGTTTAAATCCAGGGCTTCATTCATGCTAGGTAAGTGCTCTACCACTGAGTTACATCCCAGACCTTTATATTTTACTTCAGGGAAGGGTCTCACTAAGTTGCTGAGGCTGACTTAGCCTCCTGAGTAGTTGGAGTTACAGGCCTGCACCACTATGCCAGGCCAACTTGCACTTTTATAAGACCCACTGGGCTGAGTTAGAAATGACAAGAAAAGAATAGGCAAGGTGCTGCACACCTGTAATTCCAGTGACTCAGAAGGCTGAGGCAGGAAGATTATAAGTTCAAAGCCAGCCTCAGCAGTTTAGCAAGATCCTAAGCAACTTAGTGAGACCCTGTCTCAAAAAAGGCTGAGGGGGGATGGTTTTGTAGCTCAGTGGTTAAGCATCCATGGGTTGAATCTTGCCAAAGTCTGGACTTGGCACAGAATCAGGAGGCACTCACACTTTGTAGATTCAAACAGCAATTCTTTATTCCCGAACTCACACCAGCCTCCAACAAACACATTCTGATGCAAAATCCAATATGCCACCGCCCCCAAAATCACCTACCCCACGAGGCTTTTTCCAAATCCCATTTTGATCTCACAAGAACTCAACTGGAACAAGCAGCAGGAACACCCTAATCCCAGCAGCAATAATCTTCAACCTCCAACTTCCCTAAAACCCCTATTGTCTTAAACCGGGAAACGCCTTAAACCGGGAACACCCTAAACCCAAGGACCCGGATACTTCCTCAAACCTGCAGGATACTTCCTCAAACCTGGACCCACCCTCGATCACCTTGAGCAGGGTCATCTTACTAAAGCATACGTGCAATGTCCCATCGAATGTCCTCTAAGCAGCATGGGGTACGCTGGCAAGGAGATTTTGATGCGTCATTCCTACTTGGTAATGGCCCTCAGCAGAATCTCTTATAGCTCCCCCCAAAAAATCCCCTGGGCGCAGGTTGGTAAAAGGTTTTCAGCCCAAACTGATGAGCCACATCCAGCATTGCTCCCTGTCCATGTTACTCCTTGGCCACCATAAAAGATGCAGGATGCCATCTGCCCTCTCTCCTCCCTGCATCCCTACCCTGACCAGCCTCCTACCACTGTCCTTGATTTCCACTGCTCCAGCATTAACAGTCCCCTATATGTATCACACTTCTCTTATCATCTTCTTGCCTTACAAGACACTCCCTGCCATCTGGTTGTTCCCCCTTCTGCTTTTCCCACCTCACTCTCATTAGTTTGACAAATCCAGCCCCTGCTCTTGCTGTCCTCCATTGAGGGTGCTGCCAACCTCATTAACAACACGCCCCTCCATCCATTGCCTTCCTCATCTTTGAAGATTACAGGAGAGTTCCTGATCATACCCAGAACTCCCCTTGAAAGCTAGACTGCTGCTGCCTTCCTTTCATCTCAGGATGGACATAGGATGACCACACTGCTTTAGAGAACAATTCCTTTTCTTTGCTCACTTTGTAGTTCAAATGGCAGATCCTGGATGTGAGGGCGATCTGGCTGCGACATCTGTCACCCCATTGATCGCCAGGGTTGATTCGGCTGATCTGGCTGGCTAGGCGGGTGTCCCCTTCCTCCCTCACCGCTCCATGTGCGTCCCTCCCGAAGCTGTGCGCTCAGTCGAAGAGGACGACCTTCCCCTGCTAGAAACTCCAAACAAGCTCTCAAATGGCATATCCTCCTGCCTGACTCCAAAACTAGGCCCAGTGCCCAAACATATTAAGAGTAATTCACCAGGGGCTGGAGTTGTACTTCACTTCGGTGGTAGAATTCTTGCATAGCACCTGTGGTTTTGATCCTCAGCACTATGTAAAAATATTGTGTCCATCTGCAACTAAAAATATATTAAAAAGAGTATTCACCAAAATTAGGGTCCATGGAGCATGAAGCCTGGGCCTTTTTTCTGATCTTGAAGCCACAAGGTGTAGTTGAGGACAGAGGTTAATATCCTGTTGAAAGAACTTGATAGAGAAAAAGACACCAACCCAA